GTAGCCATAACTTTTACGTACTGCTTGTATTATTTCGTCCATTAATATATTAAAGAGAAGTGGGCTTAACAAGTCACCCTGTCTGACTCCGCTTTGTACTGGTATACACTGTGTTAGTTTTCCATTTATCTGTGCCTGTATTCGATTATGGAGTTAGATGCTTTCGATGGTTTGTATAATATTGATTGGTATGTTCCTTTTATACAGTAGGTGTAAGACGTCTTCGACTTGGATGCGATCGAAAGCCTTTGTCAGGTCTATAAAACATAGATATGATGGCCTTTTCTGTGATTTGTCTTAGTACAAATACGGCGTCTACGCAGGATCATCCGGATCTGAATCCTTGTTGTTCATCTGATAAAGTTGTTAGTTTATTGATTTTGTTGGTTAGGACTTTTGTGGTAAGCTTAAGTGCGGTGTTCAGTAGATTTATACCTCTATAATTGTTGGGGAAATGATTTCAGGAGAAATGATTTCAGGAAATCGTAACAAACCAATCGGGATATTAAAAAATGCAGATGGTACCACTATAACTGAAACGCAAGACAAACTACGTAGATGGAAAGAATACATTGAACAACTATTTTATGATCAAAAAGTAGAACAATTATTAGAAGTTAACGGAGAAACCACGGGACCAGAAATAATGAAAGAGGAAGTTATGTATGCTATAAAACACACAAAAGGCAGAAAAGCTCCAGGACCCGATGAAATACCAATTGAACTATTGAAGATAATTAATGAAGATAATATTGATGTCTTGGTAGACCTTTTTAACTCCATATACAAGACGGGACACATACCCAAAGAGTGGCTTCTCTCAACTTTTGTGACGATTCCAAAAATCACAAATGCTAAAGATTGCAATGACTATCGAACAATTGCGTTAATGAGCCACACATTGAAAACCTTCCTTAAAATCATACATAACAGAATCCACATGAAATTAGAACAAGAAATAAGTGATTCACAGATGGGTTTCAGAAAGGGTCTAGGAACTAGAGAAACATTATTTGGAGTCCATGTTCTGACACAACGATGCCTGGATATGAATCAGGACATATATGCTTGCTTTATAGATTTCAAGAAAGCTTTTGATAGAGTTCAACATGAGAAGCTTTTAAGTATTATTAAGACTAAAAACATTGATAGTAGAGATCTACAAATTATATCGAATCTGTATCAAAACCAGAAAGCAAGAGTAAGAGTCGAAGGAGAACTGACAGAGGAAGTAAGTAAACTTAGAGGAGTTCGACAAGGGTGTATCCTTTCACCACTCTTATTCAACGTCTACAGTGAAGTGATTTTTCAAGAGGCTTTATTGGATATCGTGGAAGGTATTTATGTCAACGGAAATAGCATTAATAATATTAGATATGCCGACGATACTGTCATATTTGCAAGTGACATGGAAGATCTACAGTACATAATACAACATGTATACAATGCATGTGAAAGTTATGGACTGCAAATGAATCTCAAGAAAACGAAATCAATGATATTCTCAAAAAAACCACAAAATGTAAATAACCTGATCATCAATAATACAACGATAGAAAGAGTAAAAACATATAAATATTTAGGAACGTGGCTAACCGAAGATGGAGATCAAGTAAAGGAGATCAGATCTAGAATAGAAATGGCAAGAAACACGTTCATAAAATTGAAGAAATTACTTTGCAACCGTAACCTTAATCTAGAGATTCGCACAAGAATGCTACGTTGTTACGTCTTCTCTACTTTACTATATGGCATGGAAGCGTGGACAATAAAGCAGTCTGAAATCAAAAAATTAAACTCCTTTGAGATGTGGTGCTACAGGAGAATGCATAGAATATCGTGGATTGAAAAAGTAACTAATATAGAGGTGTTACAAAGAATGAAGAAAGAATGTGAAGTCATAAAAACTGTTAAAATTAGAAAGATTCAATATCTAAGACATTTAATGAGGGGTGAGAAGTACGTATTACTGAGGTTGATTATGCAAGGGAAGATACAAGGAAAGAGAAACCCAGGACGACGCAAAATGTCCTGGCTAAGAAATTTGAGAGAGTGGTTCGGCTGCAGCTCATTAGAATTATTTAGAAATGCGGCCAACAAAGTTAAAATAGCGATGATGATTTCCAACCTCCGCTAGGAGAAGGAACCCGAAGAAGAAGAATTGTTGGGGTCTTCTTTATCTCCTTTCTTGACCATTGGTATCATTATGCTGATTCTCCATGCGTCTGGTATATTGCAGTGCAATATTAGTTTTTGTATAAGTTTTGTCATCTCTAGGGTTAAACTTTCTCATCTGTATTTTAGAAGCTCGTTGGTTATTCCGTCTGGCACTGGTGACTTTCTATTTTTGAGTGAATTTATGACTATTTCTACTTCGTGAAAACTGATTTCTATTTCGTCTCTTAGTTCAGGTATGTTATTGGTTTGATTATTATTTTCCTTTGATTTAAACAGTTCCGTCAGGTATCTTTCCCATTCGTTTGCTGGTATATTATTGTATTCCTTGAAGATATTGATGATAATATTATTTGTGAAGAATCAATAAAATCGGATATTGCAGGTACATATGAAATACAAGTGATTGGGAATTTTAACGATTCTGATTATGATATTCCTCTGAACCACAGATAAAACGTCCAAAGAAAAAACCAGGCAAAAATAGTAAATCCAAATTTATCTCAAGTTGTAATAACGGATATTCTTTCGTGCTCAGTAGTAATTCAACATCAGTCTCATTTATATTTAGACAATATAAAAGACAACCATGTAGGCAAGTCAAATATTGAAGTTTTTTCACTCTTTTTGATAAAAAACTAATTGAGAATAACCGTTACAATTTTGAAATGAATAACAGATTTAAAAAAATTATTAGCATATGTATATTATCTGGTTTACACTCTGCTTCAAGTTGATATGCATTGGTCAAAGGATGAGGATAAAGAAGTGCATAATATAAGAGAAAGCATGAGCCGACATAGATTTATAATTTTAATTTATAATAGTGAAGAAACCGCTACATCAGTGTCAGTACATGGGCGTCAATCTAAATTTGCTTTACCAGATGAAACCAGATTCGACAATATTGGCCACATTATAAAAAGAGACGATAGTGCAAAAATGTAGGATGTACAAAAGTAATACTATTTATTTAAGTAAAAAGTGTAGAATGCATCCACACCCCGAATATTTCGAAAATTTTTACCTTAAAATTTAATTAAGTTTAAGATACAATATGTTCCTTTATTAAAAATTGTACTGATTTCCTTAAAAATGAGAAAAAAATCTTTTTGGTTGTAATTTATTCCTAATTTATGTTTTCAATCCAATCTAATAAATTAATTGTCAAATTTCTCTTTGTATATTGAGCGGCCGTTAAGGGTTTAATACTATATAAAGAATAAACTGCCCTCAAATTTACTTTACTTACCTCAAAACTATTTTAAAGTTAATAATAAAGTATATTTAATAAATATATTCCCAATAATACACTACGCCTATGCACATATGTAAAAAATCTGGAAGATATCATATTTCATAAACTTCAATAAACTAAGATATCATATTTCTCTAATTAACATTCTTTCTAAAAACGTAAATATATATAGACCAGCAAAATATTGATAATTTTACCGATGTTCCAAACTATTCTATGAACTTGTCTCACTATACACTCGTGAATCGCACCAATTTATATTGTTACGGGGGCAAGTTTATCTTACATGGGTTACAAATTTACATATTTACATGGGCGAAGCATACACAATAAAAATGACCCCGGTAAGAATTTACTAATGAAATTTTTCATGGTTGCCGCTACCGTTTAGTTCAATTTGTAGATTAGTCACCTTTAATTGAAAATTGTCCGACTATATCCCGACGTGTGGTAAATACTCTGACTCTGATTTTATATGTATGTTGGTCTCATTTAGCATAATTAGAGCCGCGACTTTGATTCTTCTCTTATTACCATCTGCTTCTTTTAGTACTATACTTCAATCGTTTCATTAAACCCTATGTTCATTTTTCTATGCGTATTTACATATTTGAAATCTATTAAATTCTCTAATTTTAATATAAAATTAATGTTCATTTACTCTAACATTTAATGGTCTTGATGTTTCACCTTGTGATTGCGATCAGTTTTATTTAGATGGAACATCGAGGCATAAATAACACTGGCAATCTTTTGCATGCCGCAAAAGACAGACGTCTGGCCTTAAGATAATTCGCCAACGCACTACAGGTGCACGGCACTATAAGAAGAAGAAGAAATATCGAGACCATTCAATGTTAGAATAAGAAAACATCAATCTTGTATTAAAAATGGAGAATTTGATAGATCTCAAATATGTAAACACGCAACTTATACGGATTTAAGTATATGTCTAAAAGAGACTAATGGTAAAAAGAGAAAAATCAAAGAATAGGCTTACCACGTTGGGATAATATTATGTTTTTTCCTGGTGTTTTCCTTATGATTTACCATGGAATCAATAACAGGAAAATTTTACTATCATCATGGCATGTGGTTGTATTTTTAAAGATGAATCACATGTTATGATTTTTTCTGACGGATATTCTCAAGTTAAAGTTGATTTCATGTAATCGAATGAAATATCTTACAATAAAGTTATCCCAGGGACGCAACTCAGCTATATTGACAATATCATTTTCAAGTCGTCTACTTTAAAATCTATAATGAATGTCTGAATTGTCAATATAAATGAGTCATATAAAATTAAATTATTAGAAGAATTTTTTACCAAGTAACAAAAAACAAAATTTGTTTAATTTATTATTGTTTGTATTTTGAGAATAATTTACGAAGTGAAAATTGAAACGTCAATAAACTTATTTTAAACTTCAATTTTGGCTTATTACCAATAAAATAGTAATTGCAAAACATTTGCTAAATGTAACTTTTTTAAATTATAAAATGTTTATAGTTTTCCGTTTTACTTCTTCTAGGTGAATATGATTTCGGAAATACAAACAACGACATGTCAGACTTTCTCCACTTGGAAGAATTTTTAAAAACAGCTCAAGAAGAAGACCTCTTCGCTATTGTTCGTGCGGGCCCTTTTATCTGTGCTGAATTTGAATTTGGTGGATTTCCTAGTTGGTTGCTGCGAGATGATCATTTGGAAGTCAGAACAAACAATCAACAATATATGAATTACGTTGCACGCTTCTTTAACATCTTAATACCGATCTTAGCAGCTTTACAGTTTACGAAAGGAGGTCCGATTTTAATGCTGCAAGTTGAAAATGAATATGCTAATGGATCGCAAAAAAAGAGTACGGCTTATTTGGAGTTTTTAAGAGAGTTGATGCTTAATAATGGTAAGAAAAAAGTTTTTCTTTTTTTGGTGCCTCATTAGATCCCTCTAACCTTAGCAGTTAGAAATAGCAATTACTAAAGGACTCTGCACTTGTACTGGTCTCCTCTAAGGACATATGGAATTTTACTTAAAATAAATTAAAATATGACAATTAACTGATACATAAAACTTATAGTCATTTATAAACTTCTTAAATTGACATTTTAGGTATATTAACGATAATTGGCTCTGCCAAAGCCATATTATAGAAAAAAAAAAACACAAAACTAATCGCTTCACTGGTTAGTTATTAGTTTTTAAATTATTAAAAAAGTTTATTACCTTAGATTTAAACAAAAAACATTGTTCACAAATTTCAAACTATCTAGATCCGACCCATGGGAGACACAAAATGGAAGCTAGACAAATCTTGGGAGAAATCAAGCACCAAAACTGGACTTCAGGTTATCCGGGATGGTAACAATATGTAATCCTTCAAACTCGGCAGCCTATTTTCCACTTTAAACCATGTCGGCTTACTTAGCACTAAGATACTGTTATTAAATTTCTTGTCACAGGATACAGCTTACAATAAACGGTGATTAACTCATATTACAAAGATTGCCACATAGAATTTTGAGCTCAAATCCCCTTCTTATCACCACAACTCATGGAATTAAGGAAAAACTTTACCGGTTTTTCAAAACTCTCCAAAGAAGAAAAACATCAAAGTCCCGATGACCAAATTCGGACTTCCACGATGAAAATACTGCTCTCGGAGCCGGTCCTTTGACAAGTGACATCATCCTCAAAAATCATTATCTTGCCCGCATAAGCTAAAAGATTGTTATTTATTTCCTGCGCAAATATCTAGGCAGAACCAAGATCAATCGAAAGAGCAATTTGTTTATTATAAACAGACTAAAAAATGTTTTGATTATCAATCTCAGAGATGCAAAAAATTAAGAATCTTTTCGGTGTTTTGTGATATGTGAGGTAAAACGAAAATGCCACAGTTCTAGCTGATAATGCTTACCAAAATGCTGTACCATAATGTACAAATTAATATAGTATCGATAATAATTCTACGAAAGAGATTATCTTGGTTAGCAAAAAAAATGTTATTATTTATAATATCAATGTTTAAATCGACACTGTATAAAATTATTAGACAACATTAGTGTTACCCAAATGCAAGAACAAGACGAGACTTAGACAGTCTTGGTCTTAGTATTGCACTCCCGGTCTTGGTCTTGGTCTTGCAGCAAGAGTCTTGCAAGTCTTGCAGTTACCCATTAGCCTATTGCTATTTATTATCGTCTATAAAAATAGATAAACACGTATTTACGCAAAATAGTTGTTTTTATTAAATTAAATCAAAACAATGTCAGTTTAACAGTTCACAATGGTCAGAAGTAAATACACTAAATTATCATTTTTCCCTTCCACCGTGTTTATCTGTCATCAACGAACTACTCGTGATCATATAAGGTAATTACCCGATCGCCGTATTAGGAATTCCATCTTAAGCTGATTGGGACATTAGGAAGTAGGAAGAAAAAATATGCTTTATTACTAAGAATGACAATTTATAAAAAGGCTCCATCGTTCTCCAGAATGACATAGTCTAAATCAATTCGTTAATTCATTTCAGATAGCTACCGCTATCCATACAAGCTCAATTTTAAACATTACTGTTATAATGTAACATGTTACTGTCATTTTTCAGAATGACAATGTCAATAAATTTGTTTCGAATAGCTACGACTATCCAAACAAACTCATTCAAGACATTAAAATATTTGTGTCATTTTGCAGAACGATGAACTGAATATCCATTCAGAACATTGAAACATTTATTTGTCATTTTTCAGAATGACGAACTGAAAATCCATTCAGAACATTAAAACATTTATTTGTTAATTTTTCAAAATGACGAACTGAAAATCCATTCAGAACTTTAAAACATTTATTTGTCATTTTTCAGAATGACGAACTGAAAATCCATTCAGAACATTAAAACATTTATTTGTCATTTTTCAGAATGACGAATAAACAAAAAAAATTTGCTTCAAATAGTCAGAACTACTCAAATAAAACCATTCATATCATTGAATCACTTTGTTGTCATTTTTCAGAATGACAATTTTTTTTTAGTTCCAGCTATTCAAACAAATTCCTTTTAAACAATCGAATATCTTTATGTCATTATACAAAATGACCATACTATCATGCAACTAATCTGAATAATTTTAAGATCTTTGAATCTTAAATCGCTTGATATGTTCTCGACCATCAACTCCTTCATAGGGACGCCTTATTCTTGATGAATGTACATCTTCTTTTACACGATATCTATCATTTGGCAGAACCTCAACAATCCTAATTGGCCCTCTATACTTTTCTAAAAGCTTCTTAATTTCATTGTTTGCTGGAAAACTTGTAACTTTGGTCAATACCAGGTCACCAACAGCATATTTCACTGGAGAGCATCTTTTTTTATTAAATTCGTTATTTTGTTTGATTCTATTTTCTTCTAATCGTTTAGCTACATCTTTTCTCAATGACGTTACATCAATAATGTCCATATCATTATCATCTATGTATTTGTCTCCATCAACTCTTAATTTGTCCCCGAAAAACACTTCACTGGGAGAAGATTTAGTTATTCGGTGTTTTGTCCCTTTTATTTCTTGTTGAATGTTTTTTAAATTCTTATCCCACATATCGGATTCAAATTTTGCACCCATTGTGGCCATGGTATCCAGTAATGCTTTATTTGCCCTTTCTACTTGGCCGTTGCCTCTTGCCATTCCTACTGCAGTTGTAAACACTCTAATTCCTCTCTCTGCCATATAATTCAAAATTCTTTTGAAACAAAAGCTGATCCTGCATCTGATATCATTCGTTTGGTATTACCGAATACTTTAAAAATTTCTTCTAAAGCACGAATCACATGTTTACTTGATGTATCTGGGACAGCTTCAACAAACACAAATTTAGAAAAGGCATCAATCAACGCCAGGACGTATTTATTTTGAGATTTCGTTAACACAAATGGCCCTAAATGATCGGCATGGAGTGTATAAAACGGTCTAGCATATTTTGGAATGGAATGTAGATAGCCAGGCTTTTTCCTCCCGGTTGTTTATGGTATAAACAAGCAAGACAAGCCGCAATGTATTTCTTAAAAAATCTTCGCATCCGTGGAAACCAATACCGTTCTTTTATTCTTTCAATTGTTTTATCCAACGAAAAATGTCCAATATCGTCATGATTCATTTTGACAATTTGCCAACGACAATTTTTAGGCACATACCATCTTCTACCATATTCTGTTATTTTATAAACTTTGTTTCCTCTTAAATCATATTTCTTGAAAATATCCTTATGATTTTCCTGATCTCCTGACAACAGAATATCTTTAATTGTTTTTATTTCCGTATCTGTATCCTGTGCTTCTCTTAGGCAGTCGTCTTCTTGGATGAGCATCACTTTAATTTCAAGGCTTTCCTCTGCTTCAGTTCTTTCAAAGTTCCTACTTAAGGCATCTACATGTTGTAGTTGTACTCCTGATTTATGTTTTATTTCAAAACAAAAATCTTGTAAACACAAAACCCATCTTGCTATTCTTGGAATTATTGTTTGTTTTACTAATGCATTTTTAACGGAATTGCAGTATGTTATTACAGTAAAAGATCTTCCTGCTAAATAATATTTTTTATACCTTTCTAAGGTTTTGACAATAGCCAAAAGCTCCAGTTCAAAAGAATGATATTTCTTTTCTTCTTTTGTGGTTTGCTTGCTAAAATAGGCAATTGACTTTTCACGACCATCAACAATTTGTGTTATTATGCCTCCAAATCCTTCTCTACTTGCATACGTGTAAACTATTATGTCATGTTTCGGATTGAATATTGTTAAAATTGGTTCTGAGACTATAACTTTCTTCATTTCTTTAAAAATTTTCGTTTCTTCTTCTGTCCATGTCCAATTTACATCTGTTTTTAGTAATTGCGTCAATTTTGCAGTGCGTCTTGCAAAATTTGGTATGAACTTTCGGAAAAATGATATCAATCCAAGAAATTGCCTTAATTGATGCTGATTATTTGGCAAAGGAAATTTTTTTACTGACTCAATTTTATGTTTACTTGGTGAAATTTTATTAAATGAAATTTCATATCCCAAGTAGGTAATTTTTGTCATTAAAAATTTTGATTTTGACATCTTTACAGTTAGACCATAATCTTCTAATACTTGCAATACTTTATTTAATAGTTCCAGGCCTTCCTCAATACTTTTTGAGGGAATTAAGATATCATCCAAATACGGAGTAATACTGTTTTGTTTAAACGGTTCAAAGATTTCGTTCATCATTTCTTGAAATACAGTCGGTGCATTAGATAACCCAAAAGGACAGCGTAAATATTCATAATGTCCTTGACTAGTAACGAATGCTGTGTATTTGATTGAGTTATCTGCCATAGGAATTTGATGATATCCTGCTGCCAAGTCCAAGGACGTAAAATATTTATAATTATATAAACTGTCAATTATCTCTTCAATTATAGACATTGTTGGAGGTATCTTTTTTGAAATCTTATTAACATGCCTATAATCTACCACCAGACGTTTTTGACCATCTTTTTTATCAATAAGAAAAGAAGGGCTTGCGAACGATGAATTACTCTTTCGAATAATATTTGCATCTAATAATTCTTGTATTGTTTCTTGTAAAATTTCTTTATCAGCTGCAGGTGTTCTGTAGGGACGAAACTTAACTACATCTGAACTTGTAATATCGATTCTCATAACAACAGAATGCGATTTTTTTAGAGCTTTCAAATTTGTATAAAAACAGTCCTCGTGATTTAGCAAAATATTTTCCAACATCATTTTCTCGTGTTTAGATATATTTCCTGTACTTATTTCTTTATTTAAGTCTTTCTTATAATATATTTAAATGTTAAACTATTATCTATTCTATAATACATAATATTTACATCTTCTGTAAAATTTCTTCCTATTAGAAGGTCATTAACCCAATGTTAATCCATGAC